AAGAAACATCAATAACAATATGTAGAATTTACAGTAATAGGTCAAAATATGGCAAATATCATTCAAAGGAGTGTGCTTAACCTTGTCCTTGTATGCGACTTGACTGGCCAACTTAGGTGGCGTTTGCTGTTTTTGTATTTGCTTTGTTAACTCAGTTAAAGCCGACTTCAATTCCGATGAACTGTCAAAACAATATATGCAGTGATATTAATACTGTAGATTTTCTTGTAATAACATTTAGACACAGTAGTTACTTTTAGTGGCGAGTTAGTTTGACAGTTAATCTTACCTTTGGTCAGCACAGTTATTGGGAGGCGTCTGGTTCGGGCAATATTGCGATACAGTAATCTGTTCCTGTAGCTTAGCCAAAGACTTTCTCATCCTTCCAATTTCAGCTTCCAATTCTTGATTTCTGATCGAATACAAAGTAGGAATGCTTAAATAAGACTAAATACTACCCGAGAAAATAAAAATGTACGTATTTGTGCATGAGTCCTATAATATATAATCAAATAATTGAGACCCAAGCGACGATAACAACACGCGCTAAAAATGCAAAGGATCATGCGTAGACGCTTGTTTGTAAACCATGACACGCTATGGCCATCTGACGCATGCGCAGATGATGACTCTCCCGCTTTAACATTTATATATACACACCTCACGTTCAATTTCTCCTGCATTGTTGTTTCCACTTTCAAAGATTCTTCAGCTTTTTTTAGAGAGGCTGCTATATCTTTCTTTTCGCATTCCAGTTCTGCAAAACGTTTTTTTAACGATCTACAAGTCTCACTTTTATTTGAAGATACCTCTCTGTATAAAATAATAACATTACATATAACATTTGATTGTGGCATTCCAATCTAATTTATTATGTATTTATTTGTATCTGTACATAAGGCCAATGGCCACAGTACGAAATGAAGATAGTATTATTATTAACATTTTATTGTGGCTTTACTGACTGATATGCTTTTCTCATATTGTGTAGTTTTGTGTTCATGATGTTGCAGTGAAATAATATACTAGTGGGCTATACTATTTCTTACCTTAACTCGTCAATTTCTTTTGTCATTCTATTCAGCTGATCGGTCTGTTTGTCCTTTTCAGTACATAGAAAATTCCTATACAGGTGGAAAAAAGGTGGCAATAATAAAGTAAAAATATAAAATTAAACATAATTATGAAAAACAACATTCAACAAAGCATCTAAAAACTAAATATTAAAAATGAAACAAACTGTGAACTACATAGTAAAATAACAACCAGAAATATGTATAATAGCACCCAGGATATACAACACAATACAATACAATGTTTATTTATTATGATTGTGATTTACAGCTTACATTTTAAACGAGAACTTACATTTGGTATTGCAAATCAGCAATTACTTTATCATCTACTTCTTTCAGATTTCTAAATTTTGATTTCATCTTTAGTTTGGCATTGGTAACCTCATTCTGTAAAACACATGTACTATTTGTAAACTGTCAAAATATTACTCTAATACTCGATAACATGGTATTCTGTTATAAGGAATTCTACGCGCAGTAAATGGAATGATTTTCTACGAACGAAATAGAAATACCTGATACTGATTCATTTTTTGTAGTAGTTCACTCGAACGTTTTTCCATTGCAGCAATAGCAGCTTTCAGATCTTCTCTTTCGGCTCTAATCTGGTCGACTTTCTTTCTTTCAACACTCAATTTTATTTCCATAGATTCGACACTGTCTCTCAGTTGGCATAGATCTTCTTGCAACATTGCCTAAAAGTTCAAAGATATCGTATTATACATTGTTCAACATGTTATAAAGTTCATCACAAAATGGTCACAGACAACACCCCCTCATCATTAAGTCTTACCTCTGCTCGTTTGTAGTTCTCTATGGAACGGATCTGCTCTTTAACTGTAAGTTCGGATTCTTCACGACTTTGTCTTTCACTTGAAAGATCATCTTGTAATTTATTCACCATGATCATTAATTCTTTGTTATTGTCCTCTAATGCCTTCTTGGTCATTGTAACTCCTTCCAAATCACGGGTTGTGGCGTGCAATGAGTGCTCCATCTGTGACAAGAGCAGATAAACTAAAAACTTACAAATATATTACCCTATTGCCCACAGGCTCAGAAATCTATCGAATGTCAAAGTAAGTCATTCTCTAGAAACATCAAGCTAAGTTAATTCGTTTATGAGGGTATATTGCGGTGCACATCAGACAAAGACATATTTAATTAGATGGATATGACACTTATAATCATCACTAACAGAACACTTACATCAGCTAATGTAGCATTCAGCGCAATTTTCTCTTGTTCACGTTCTCTGATTGACTTCGCAGCTGTCTCTCTTTGCTGCTTCAGCTGATCTTTTAATGTAGTTGCTAGTCGATGTGACTTCTCAAATGATTTGTCCATTTTATCTAGCTTGTTGTCTTTGTCGCACACAGAAGCATTCAGATCAGTTAGGTATGAGTTTGTTTCTTTCAATTCTTTGTTCAGTTGGCTAATACGACTTTCCTGTTCTTTAACCACTCTGTTGATAAAAGAAACAGCAAACAGTGAAGACCTGTTGCACTATTACTTCACATGAAAATAACCAGAAAGGATAGTTATAATATTATAATATACATACTTTTTAGCATTTTCTAAATCTCTCAATGTCTTTCCAAAGCTTAACAGTTGAGTGTTTCTTTGGTTTATCTGACTTTGTAACATCTCACATTGTTCTTTGTGCTCATTCAGTTCTAGTTGTAGTTCACGTTTCTCCCTGTCTAGTTGGTCTTTCTCATGTGTGAATTCATGAGTCATAGTAACTATGTTTTGTTGATTCTTATCGTATATGTCCTGTATCATGAGTTCCTTCTCTTTAATTCTGTCACTCATACTGTGGAAATCTAAAAAAAAACATGTTATGTTATTCATATTAATTAATCGTTATCACATCCTTGTGTTGCATTCATTGTTGATATGTCATCGATATGATAAAAAGTATTAATATATAACTATGTACATGTGTATTTCATTGTTCTGTTTTGTTGTCTGTGTGTTTCTTTCCTACATACATGGGAACTAAGCATTTCATTCGTACGCAATCTGACAAGTGATTTCTATGTGGCTCAGAGTAATATTTTGTAGATTCCACTATGATTGACCCCAAGACATGCTTTGGTGATGTCATGTTTGGTACAGCTTATTTGAGTGTTGCTGCAAGACAGATATGACAAAAGTACTAATCCATTTAATTTTCACACACCTATTATCAGATTGTCCTTTTCTTTTGTCAGCATTACAATGCGATCTTCACTAGTTTGAAGTGCTATCTTGGATTTTTCTACCTCGATGGTCAAGTCCTTCACTGTCTCTCGTAGTCCATTAATTGAGTCTTCACCTCGTTTACATTGCTCCTAATTTAGTAAATAAAAGTAGTTCATTTTCAATTAATATTCAATTATATCACAGTAGATGTATTTCTAAGATCTGTGATTCTATATAGAGCTTATGAAGACAAAATGGACTCAAGATAAACTCTCTCTATCGGATTCCTTGTAACATAAAATAAACATAGGACTATATAACATACAGAAGCATTATGATACGTGTCTAACTGGTGCATTTTTCCATCATATATTATATTTACTAAATGTGTCATATGAAAGTTCACATGATATCAAAGTTGCACTTACTTTGAGAGTTCCATTATCCTTTCGCTCAGATTTTAGTGATGTAGTAACAGCATCATGATGACGTATCAGTGATGCCAATTCAGATTCACACTCAAATAACTTATTGGAAAGTTTTTCTGCTTTTTTGTTAGCTTTGTTGAGGTCAGTAGTCAGGTGATCCTTCATTTCGTCCATGGCAAGTGACAATCTCTTCTGTTCATTTTCTGCAGCTTGAATCTTAAAGCAATTGTATGAATAACAAATAAAAACTATGGCATGGTGAAGTTTCATATGATGCGTTCAAGGATGCTAGCTATGGCATTTACTATTCGAGTATAATGAAACCTGGAGAAAATGTTTTGTTTTTTACTATACATTGCTCATGTGTATTCCCGAGACCTTAGAAGAGATTTTATGTTATATGAAATTAACATACCTTTTCTCTTGACTGAACAATTTGCAGTTGATTAGCATGAAGTGTTGCTTTGTTGGTTTCTTTCTCAGACTCTAATACGTGTTTAGCAGCAATCAATGCATCGTTTAATTCACTTTTCTCAGATTCCGATTTACATTTGTCATAGAACAGAGTTTGATTGATGTCTTGTAACGTAGAGAGTTCTTTGGTCTATATATTAAAAAAACAGGACAGTATTAGTAGATTAATTAATGATTGAAATCACTATACAATTGTGGTAGCATGTATTGGAGTGAAATGTTTGAGAGGCACATTTGCCATGATCGTGATATGGAATTTCACTTGTTGCATGTTTATATATTTGTAATGTTCCTGTAATTAATATACATAAATATCACAATACCCTATCATTTTTGATGTATATGAAATAATTATAAGTCTTACTTTTTGTTTCAGATCCTCTGATAAGTCTTGTATTTTCTTCATGCTATTGGTGTTCTCAGTTGCAAACTTAGATACTTTATCATTTAGATCTTTCAGTTCTGATGTTTGGTTTCTGGAATAAATGTTTAAATAATACTTCATCAAATACAAGTACACAAATCAATGAACATGCACTTCCATTTGAAGGAAAATGTGCCCTGAGTTCATAAAATAAATGAAAAAAAAAGCCAAGACCAAACATTCAATGGAAACAATGACTCCTCATAGCAGAAAGCTCCACTTAGAAAGCATCCTGAATTGAAAATTATCAAAATACAACTTGTAAACTTAGAGAGTAATATATGAATACTTACATAATCACTGCCTGCATTGAATCAATCTGTGTCTGTTTATTTGTTGCCAATGTAAGGGAATCCTTCAAATCTTTCTGCAAAGCTTGAACCTGATCACTACGCTCATCAGCCAATCTTTTAAACACTTCAATGCGACCATTGATTGCTTCAACCTTTCTCTGTCGATTTTCAGCATGGTTTTTTGCTGACTCCAAGTCATGCTTCAATTTTATGGACATCTTATCATATTCTTTGTTCTCAGATAGCAGCTGTTTAATTTCAAGCTGCAAAGACTTCAATTCAGCAAGGCGCTCATCAGAAAGCTGTGTTGATATCTTCATATTTTGAGTAAGGTGATCAATGTGTCTCGTTTTCTCTGAAACATCGGTGCTGAGATTTCTTATTTTCTCATTCAGGCTCTTATTCTTGCTTTCTTCTTCCATCAGTGCAGCTGACTTTTGATTAAGTTGTTCATTACATTCTTTGATATCTCTATTAATATCTCTCAGTTGTTCTTTCAGTTGTTCTAACTGGTTGTGTAAACCTGCATTCTCTTTTTTCTGTTCTGTAACCAAAGTATCTAGTTTTACTACCTTCAATTCTCTTTCCTTAGAAACTGATGTTATGTTTTCCAATTTGTTTTGCAGCTCTGTGATTTCATTCTTACACTCATCTGATAATTTCTTCATTGCTTCAAGTTCAAGCTTCAAATTCTCTGAACGCGACTGCTTCTCAACTGCAACCTCACTAACTTCTGTTAGTTCTTTGTTCATAGTCAATAATTCTTCTTTTTGTTTGGCTATGACTTCTTTTGCATTGTAAACATCATTTTGTAAAAGTTCGATCTGTATGTGTTGATCAGAGGTCAGCAGTCGGTTTTTCTCAAGATCTTCAAACAAATTCATTATTTCCTTCTGTCTCTCAGCTGCTAAAATTGTTGCCCCATCTACATTTTCTTGAACATGATGAAGTTTGGTCTGTTTCTGAGATACTATTTTTTTTGCTACCTTCAGGCTCTTTTGCAAACTGTTGATTTCTGCTTGTTTTTGTTCAATGGTTTGACCGGCAGAATTGATGGCACGCTCAAGAGATTCAACCTGTCTCTTTTGTGTGTCTGCAAGCTTTTTATTTGTATCACTGCCATGTTTCAAGTTGGTAATTGTATTGTCTTTCTCTTGAATACGTTGTTCCTTTGATTGCATTTCAAGTTTCAATGAATCCATTTGAATTTGTCGCTCATTGGAAATCTGCTGCAATATTTCTAGCTCATGTTGTAATTTGGATGCATTTTCCACTGCATATTGCTTTTCAGATAACACATGCTGAAGTTCCATTTGAATTGTATTGCTTTGTTTCTCCTTAACATCCACCAAATTCTTCATGACATCAAGCTCTTCATGTAATGCCCTATCATCTAATTTCCAGGCTTGTGCTCTGAGTTTTAGTGATCGCAATTTCTCTTCAAGTTCTTGTATTCTATGTTTCCTATCAGAAGCAATCTTTTTCATGGTTTGATATTCTTCTTTAGCCTTCTCTACATCCTTGGCTGAGCTTTCTGCATTTATCTTTGTATTCTCTAACTGCATCTTTAACATAGTGTTGTCCAATGATTCAGCAGTGTTACACTTCATTCTTTCCAGTTCTCCTTTAAGGCTAATAATCTCATGTTGTATTTCTCTCTCTTCAACAGTTTCGTGTTTGGTAGCTAACCTCAATTGCATGTCTTGTATCTGGTTTTGTAAAAGCTGTTGCTGTTTCTGGCTTTCTTGTGCTAATAGATGTAGTTGATGATCTTTCTCTTGAAGAACATGCTGTAATATAGCTAGCTGATTGGTTAATTCCTGATCTTTTTGATTGTCTATGTTTTTTTCAGTGCTCACACCTATACAATGTTTAACCTCAGTATTAATTAATTGTTTGTGCAGGTCATTTATTTCCTTCTGTGCCTCTTGTTGTTGTTTCTGACTGTCCTGTAAAAATTGCTTCATGCGAAGATCTTTATCTTCTACTTTTCCCCTGGCATCTCTAAGCTCCTGTTGGAGGCTAGCAATTTTGATATCTTTTTCAGTTTGTTTTTCTATTTCTTGTACTTTGAGTTTTTGTAATTCAGCTTGCAATTCACTAAGTCTTCTCTGACTATTCTTGTGTCACTGATTGTATTTGAGCATTCTGTTCATATGTGAACTTATGAGCCAATGCAAGTTCTTTTTGGATTCCAGTAGTTGTACAAGAATTTGCCTGCAAGTCATATCTGATTTCATCACGCACGATTTTCATCTGGAGTGCATTGATTTCTTTCTCTAACTCATGCTGTGTCTTCTGATTTTCATTGATGGACAATTGAAATTGACGTTCAGAATTTACTGCCATTTGTCTAAGATCTCTTAATTCTTGTTGCTGGGAAGCAATAGTGATATCTTTGTCATGTATTTCCTCAATGTGGCTGAGCTTCAGTTTCTCTATTTCTTTGTGCAACCCATCAAGTTGTCTGTGAGTTTCCTCATTTATTGACTGTAATTGTACATGCTTCTCATGGCTAATTGTTCTTGACAGTTCTAGTTCTTTTTGGTGTAGGGTATCTCCATTAGAACTGCTATGTATGTCTTGCTTGACCTCAGCAGTGACAAGCTTTAGTTTAAGCTCAGCAATTGCTTGTTGTAATTCTTGCTGTTGTATTTGATTTTCTTTAATTACCTGTTTAAGACTATTAGCCTTTTCATCTACCTTGTTTCTAGTATCTCTTAATTCTTGCTGGAGTGAGGCAATATGTATGTCTTTTCTTGATTGGTTTTCATACTCTTGCATTGAAACTTTTTGCAATTCAGCCTGTAGTTTGTCATGCTTGTCCTGGAATTCTTGTGTTAGCATCTGTACCTGGGCATTCTTCTCATGGGACAATTTTCTTTCCAGCTCCAGCTGTTTCTGGACACCCATTGCTCTATCAGAGGTTTCATGCATCTCATGTTCAACTTCAACTTTTGTTATTTGCATCTTGAGAGCATGTATTTCCTTCTCTAATTCATGTTGTTCCTTTTGACTGTCTCTCATGCACAGCTCAAGTTGTTGTTTTTTGGCATCAAACATGTGATTGTTATCTCTTAATTCTTGTTGCAGAGTGGCAATTACAATATCCTTTTGGTGTAATTCGTTATTGTGATGCAGCTTCAATTGTTCCATATCCCTGTGAACTTTTTCCAGTCGTGTTTGTGTTTCTTTAGTTACAGACTGTAACTGGGCATGATTTTCATGACTAAACTTTCTTGCTAATTCAACTTCTTTTTGGTGGATAGCATTTAGATCTGAATTGGCATGCATGCCATGCTTGACTTCTGCAGTTACCAGTTGTAACTCAAACTTATCAATCACTTTCTGTAATTCCTGTTGTTTTCTTTTACTTTCATTAGTAACCTGCGTAAGTTGATTATCCTTAACCTTTACAACATGTTTAACATCCTTCAGCTCTTGCTGAAGTTTTGCAATTGAAACATCTTTTGCAGCCTCTCTTCCAATGTCTTCCATTTTAACCCTCTGCAACTCAGCCTGCAATTTCTCAAGTTTATTCTGATTCTCTTGTTTTAGCATCTGCAATTGCGCATTCTTCTCATGTGAGAATTTTCTTGCTAGCTCTAGTTGTTTTTGAACATCAGTTGTTCTCTCAGAAGTTTCATGCATCTCATGCTTGACTTCAGCACTAGATATTTCTAACTCAAGAGCATGTATTTGCTTCTCCAAGTCATGTTGTTCTTTCTGATTGTCTTTGACCAACACTTGAAATTGCTGTTCTTTTACCTCCAACATGTGTTTGGTATCTTTTAATTCTTGTTGCAGAGTTGCAAGTAGAATGTCCTTGTTGTGTAATTCGTTATTGTGATGCAACTTCAATTGTTCCATGTCTCTATGAACTTCTTCCAGATGTGTTTGTGTTTCTTTAGTTATGGATTGTAACTGTGCATGATTCTCATGGCTAAACTTTCTTGCCAATTCAATTTCTTTCTGGTGTAGATTTGAATTGGTGTTCATGTCATGCTTGGCTTCAGCAGTGACAAGCTGTAATTCAAGCTTATCAATGACTTTCTGTAACTCTTGCTTCTGTGTGTGACTGTCCTGAATAACCTGTTTCATATTATTTTCCTTATCTTGTGCAACATTTTTAACATCCTTCACCTCTTGTTGAAGGGTTGCAATTGTTACATCTTTTGCAGCTTCTCGCCCAACATCTTCCATTGTAACCCTTTGCAACTCAGCCTGTAGTTCTTTTTGAACACTGGCAGCTCTATCAGATGTTTCATGCATATCATGCTTGACCTCAGCACTAACTACTTTCATCTGAAGTGAAGTTATTTCTTTTTCTAAGTCATGTTCCTGTTGTTGATGTGCATTCAATGACAGTTGTAGTTGATGTTCTTTATTTTCAGCGACTTGTTTGGCATCTCTCAACTCTTGTTGTAAAGATGCAATTGTGGCCACTTTTTCATGCATTTCTTCTTTGTGATGTAGCTTAAGTTGTTCAATTTCATGTAGGTGTTTCTGTGATTCTTCTGTCATGATTTTCAATTGAACATGTTTGTCTTTACTAAATGTTCTTGCCAGTTCAATTGCTTTCTCATGAGATGTTTTAACATCGGAATCTATATTATACTTAATTTCGGAAGAAGCAAGCTGAAGTTTTAGTGCATCAATCTCTTTTTGAAAGTGTTGTTTTTCATCACTATGCTTTTTTACCAACAGAATAATTTTCTCACTTTGTTCATGGTCTTTCTTTCTGAGATTTTCCAACTGATTTTCTAGCGATGAATTTGTATTTATTTGATCATCAAGGAGAGATTTTGTCTTTTCAAGTTGATACTTCAAGCCTTCCATTTCTTCCTGAAGAGTATGTTTTTCATTCACAAGCTCAATTTTCAAAGTTGCCATCTCCATTTCTTTCTCTGTTTTTAGACGTCTAGTTTCTGCAAGATCATTCTGAAGAGAAGTAACAACAGATTCTGTAATATCCATACTATTATTTTCTCCCGTTCTAAACAATTTCATTTGAAGGTCTTCCACTAACTTATTTATCTCTGTTTCCTTTTCAGCATTTCTTCGGGTCTCATTTTGCAATTCTCCATGAAGAGACTTAATTGTAAATTCTTGCCTGTTGTTGATATGAATAGCTTGATGAAACTGTTGCGTGAGATGCTCAATTTGTTCTTTCAAATCATTTTGCTGCTTGGTCATATTCATACTTGCTTGATTTGATGATTGAAGATCTTTTTCTGTTTGATGGAGTGTGTCTTGTAGCTTTGATAATTCAGACTCTTTCATTTCCATTGCCATCTTCAAGTTTTTTATCTGATGTTGTAGATTCAGAGCAAGTGTTTGATTTTCATCTATGGATTGCTTTGCATCACTATGTTTTCTTGAAATGAGAATAATATCCTGGGACCTCTGGTCAGCAAGACTTTTGATACTTGTTAACTCCTTTTCCAAAGCTTCAATTTCTTTATTATTTTCCTTAATCTCCATTTCATGGCCAACAGTCAACACATTGTTTCCAGCTGGCAACTCTCGCTCTCTAAATCTTAGCTTTATGTGTTCGATTTCTGTGTCCTTTTGCTCTAAAATGGTTTTCAGGTTGTTTATCTGATGAATCAGGTTTTGTGCTGATGTTTGTTTTGCATCAGTGTCCTGTCTTGAGTAACTGATTTTGCGTTGAAGTATGTTAATCTCTCCTTGTCGTGTTTCAGCGAGCTTCTTGCTGTAAATGAGCTCTTTTTGTAGTTGTTCAATATCAGCAGCAAGTTTGTCAAACTGCCATTGATCCAGCTGTCCAGCCTCTGCTTCAGACTTTATTTCAGGTCTGTCAATTGATCTTGCATGGAGATTTGCAATTTTAGTATCTTTTTGATCAATGATCATATTCAGGTTATGTATTTGTTGCTTTAGATTCTGTGATTCTGTCTCATTCTGGTCTTTGTCCTGTCTAGCATAACTAAGTTTACGTTCAATTTTAATTAGCTCCTGTTCTCTGACTTCAGATAAGTTTTTGAAGTAAGTAAGATGTTTTATAAGTTGCTCGCCCTCTTCCTTTTTTGAAACCACATCATTTGCTCCATCTTTTCCATCCACAATCATTATCAGATTTTTCACTTGCTGAAGAAGATTCTGAATGATTGCTTCTTGTTTATCATGGTGGTCGTGCTTGTTTTCGTTCTTCTGTAATAAAGTATTGATTTCACCAAGACGTTGTTCAGCAAGTTTCTTGATGCCGTACAATTCCTTTTCTAGTGCATGAGAATCTTCTTTTTTTCTCTTCAGTTCATCTTTCAAATTACTGACAAAATCATCATCTTGATCATTCACTTTATGTTGGGTTGGAGATGGTGAATCTTGCTGAATAGACTGTAGAAGAACCTCAATGTGTCTGTTTTTCACATCAATAATGTGTTTTGCCTCTTCTAGCTCACTTTTGAGTGAACTAATTTCCACCATATATTTACCATGTTCTGGTACAGCCTCATCTGATTCTGTGATAACAAAGCCTTCTCTACTTGACTGACCATCCATGAAATGGTCTTTAAGCATATGAATATGCTCTAGCCTCTCTTCAGCAAGGGTTTTCATTTCTTCAAGTTCTTGCTGCAAATGAAGTACATTTTTCTCTGTAGATACTTCTCGTAATTTATGAACTTCTTCCTGAAGTTTCTTGATTTCCATATCTCTGATTTCACACATCGAGCATTCTTTTTGTACATCTTTTGGAATGTTGTCAGTTTGATTTTGTTCAACGTTCTTGCATTTTTCTCTGTACAATTCCCAAACCAATCTGTGAATTTCTTCTGTTTGTTGTTCGATTATATTTGCAGCTCCAAAACTAGTGCAGCAGACACTTTCATTAGAGGCGTGGTTAAACTTGTATTGAGCCTATGGGGGGAAACATCGCCTAAATCAATGCTGGCTACATATTATAATAATATCTATATACTAGTATATCTATATCTATATCTATATATGAATATACACCCAGAAAATGTACAAGTAAGAAATAGCAATAAATTATACTACAGCTTGAACGGCATGTTGTAAGGAAACATATATTGTTTGTGTTGAAGAATGTTGTGATGGGGGTGAAACGCAAATGCGGCCACTGTTTGTGAGTTGTAAGTTGTGTCTGAAAAATGTTGTCTTTAACATATCGAGTGAATTGAGCCATGAATCAAAATCAGGAGTAACTGCACTCACTACGTATACATGTTGAAACTTGTCACTCAGCAGCAAATTTTGTTATCTTATGAATTAAGATGGCCCTATTTGAATCATCAGTTGCATA